CCCATGCAGGGGGTTGGGACTGGATGATCTTTCAGGTCCCTTCCAACCCAACCCATGCTTCTATGAATTAACAAGGGAGAACTTCACGAGGTGCCCAGCAGACCCACACACACATCCCCCACCCCAAGTCTACGGCCTCAGACTGTCACCTCCCTCAGACTGTCACCTCCCTCGGAAGGGGCAGGGGGAGAAAAGCCTGAGGAGAAGCCCCTGACTACTCACCTGAAGCTCTGCTGGTTCCAGGCCTGTCCATACACCCCATAGGCAGGGACCTGCCAGCCGTTGGGGACGTACTGCCCGATCTGGGCACTGCTGTACCACTGCCCCCACTGCCCGTAGGTCGGCGGGTACCCCAGCTGGTTCTGCAAGCACCCCAGAAACACCCACCCGTCAGCGAGGCCCTGGAGGTGGGCAAGGAGTTGTTGAGCAAAAGGTGGTTACGTGGTGAGAGGTGCTGACCTGCTGGACTGGGCTGACCATGTCGGGGGTCTCCTTGCCCCAGTAACACTTCACCACGTGGCCCTCGATGCTGGTGCCGTTGACGGAGACGATGGCGTGAGCGGCGCTCTCGTGGGAGCTGAACCTGTGGGAACACCCAGGGGAGGCCATGAGCAGCTCCAGAGGGGAGGGACAGCCTGGAGAAACCCCCCAGAGAGAGTCCTCACTGATCTAGGCTTGTTTAGACCAGCCCCACTACAGGGAGTTTCTCCTGTCAGCCCCCCCCCGGGTCATGGTCGATGTTCTTGGTGTCTCCACGTTCCCTAAAGAAACTGGTTTTGAACTGGAGGAGGGAGCTGGAGGTTGGAGATGAGGAGGGAATTCTTTGGTGTGAGGGTGGTGAGAGCCTGGCCCAGGTTGGGCAGGGAAGCTGTGGCTGCCCCATCCCTGGGGGTGTTGAAGGGCAGGTTGGATGGGGCTTGGAGCAGCCTGGGCTGGTGGGAGGTGTCCCTGCCCATGCAGGGGTGGGACTGGGTGATCCTTCAGGTCCCTTCCAACCCAACCCATCCCATGCTCCTCTAAACCCCCAACTCCACGACAAGGAGAACAAATCCATTTCTCCTCATTTTTTGTTCCCTGCAGCCTCGTTCCAAAAGAGATGAGACCAAACCTCAACCCCTCCACCCCCCTCACACACACACCTCCCACCCTCTGCTGCCACCAAGAAGAAACCCAACCAACCCCACTCCTCCTCCATCCCCACACCCACCTCACAAAGGAGTAACCTTTATCTGGGAAGACTCTGATTTCCATGATCTGCCCGAAAGGAGAGAAGGTCTGGCGCATGAGCTGCTCTGGAGCAGGAAGAGACACAGAGAGAGAGCAGCACAGTGAGGCCACCACCTTCTGGAGCACCTTCTCCAGCACCCCCAGGAGCTGGTGTCCACCACAGTACCTGTCAGCCCTGAGGTGACACCACCACAGTACACGGTGCAGTTGCTGGGGCTGGACTGGTTGACCACGTCGTCGTAGGAGAGTTGTTTGGTGGTTGCTGGAAGGGAGATGTTGTTGGGGGTTTTTTTCATGTAGAGGGGGTTGTCAGGATGTTGGACAACCAGTTGGTGGGAATTCTAAGCTCCAGCCATCAACTGCTGACAGTCAAACTATGTGTCTCCAGCAGAAATGCTCTCTTGGATGTGGGCCTGCTCCAGAACCACCCAAAAGTGTGTGGGGAGGAGTTAAAGAGGGTTGTCCTGGTTAGAGGGAAAGGTTCCAACTGGAGTGTGGAAGCCAAAGGTGGTGGTGACACAGTTGCCATCACTAAGGAAGAGACTCTTGGCACCCACCTTCTCTCCTCCCACCATCCCCCAGGCTTTTCTCTTCCTCCTTTGGACAAGGGCAGGGAGGGATGGGATGAGGTGAATGGATGAAAACTGGGAGAGGGAGATGGAGGTTGGAGATGAGGAGGGAATTCTTTGGTGTGAGGGTGGTGAGAGCCTGGCCCAGGTTGGGCAGGGAAGCTGTGGCTGCCCCATCCCTGGGGGTGTTGAAGGGCAGGTTGGATGGGGCTTGGAGCAGCCTGGGCTGGTGGGAGGTGTCCCTGCCCATGCAGGGGGTTGGGACTGGATGATCTTCCAAGTCCCATCCCACCCAAACCCGTCTGGGGTTCTCTGGTTCCTCCTCAAGAGGTCAGCAGAGACACAGACAGTTGCAGACCTACATTCAAAGGTGCTCTTTGGAGCTGGAGGTTTCCTGGTGGCCCAGTTGGTTCTGATCTGCCTTCCTCCCAGCCACTGCCCGCCCATCTGCTGGATGGCGTTCTCTGCGTCCTGCCCGGACAGGGAGGGAGGAGAAACCCACTGTTGGCATCTCCTCATCATTTCATCCCATCCCATCCTTGCCCAACAGATGGGAACAGCCCATCTCAACACATGGAGAGGAAAGCAAAGGGTTGGGCAAAGAGGAACTGAATGAGGTTCACCAAGGGCAAGTGTAGGTGCTGCATCTGAGCCCCATGGAGCAGCACAGGGTGGGGGAGACCTGCTGGAGAGCAGCTCTGGGAAGAAGGACCTGGTGGCCAACAGGGTGACCATGAGCCAGCAAGGTGTCCTTGTGGCCAAGGAGGCCCATGGCATCTGGGGGGCATCAAGAAGAGGGTGGTCAGCGGGTCAGGGAGGTTCTCCTGCCCCTCTGCTCTGCCCTGGTGAGGCTCCCTCTGGAGAACTGGGTCCAGTTCTGGGCTGCCCAGTTGCTGAAGGCCAAGGAGCTACTGGAGAGGCCAGGGCAGGGCCACAGAGATGCTGAGGGGCTGGAGCATCTGGCTGTGAGGAAAGGCTGGGAGAGCTGGGGCTGCTCAGCCGGAGAGGAGGAGGCTGAGGGGGGATCTCCCCCATGCTGGTCA